TCATATCCGCGTTTTATCCAAAAGGATAAAACGCGGATATGGTCCAAAAAACGTTTTTCAGCCTTTTTTAAGCCATATCCGCGTTTTATCCAAAAGGGTATCCAAAAGGATAAAACGCGGATATGGTTCAAAAAACGTTTTTCAGCCCTTTTTAAGCCATATCCGCATTTTATCCAAAGAGGGCATATCTATATGTATAAAGAATATTGAATATTGTCCTATAATTTGAACAAATAAAAACCAATGTCTCTTCGCTTAAATCAGTTACTGCGAGATAAGAGTTCTAAAATTACAATTTAGTGTTAATAATAAAGTTTTAATTTAGTGTCAGTTATCTGGTATGTAGTACTCCAATTTTATGCCAACGTAATGTGCTGCTTTTCAAAGGCTTTGATGTCAATGCAGTTATCGGTTTAAATATACCTACAATTCGAAGATATGACAATTGCCGTACGGCCTACTTTCTATACGTAAATGCAAATTACAATTGCAACATTCATCCTTAATTTTCTCTGTTATCTGGGCATGTAGTAATGTAATTTTATGCCAATGTAAGGTGCTATTTTTCAAGGGCTTTTCAATGCAGTTATCGGTTTAAATATACCTCAAATTCCCGTTAAGATATGACAATTGCCGTACGGCCCACTTTTACGCGAACGCAATTTACAACTGCAACATTCATGCTTAATTTTCTCTGTTATCTGGGCATGTAGTAATGTAATTTTATGCCTAAACAACGTGCTATTTTTCAAGGGCTTTTCAATGCAGTTAACGGTTTAAATATACCTCAAATTCCCGTTAAGATATGACAATTGCCGTATGGCCTACTTTTACGCGAACGCAAATACAACTGCAACTTTCATGCTTAATTTTCTCTGTTATCTGGGCATGTACACTGTAAAAACTGATTGGTTAAAATGACCAATTTTTTAGGTTGCAACCATTGGCAATTGGTCATTTTGACCAATTGTTTAATTAGTTAGTCGCATTTGACCAATTAAATTTGGTTCGTTTGACTATTACTTAATTGGTCGAAAAAATTGGTCATCTTTCGACCAATTTATAAAAGTTATTATAACCAACTTTTTATTGGTTATTTAGTTGAGTGTACACTGCTGATTTGAATGAGTTATTTTAATTAACTCCACTGAGAATTAAAAATTGGGAGTGAAAATTTTGAATTAAATTTACTCCAAAAGGCAAGAATGAAGTTAAAACTACACTTCAGTCGTCGATATGAGTATTCGAACATATACTCCACTGATGGTCAATTTAACTAAAAAATTTAACGGAGTAAATTTTACTCATAATCAAAATAACGAAGTAAATTTTACTTTATATTTTCTACTCCACAATTAATTTAATTGTAGTAGGAGTGAAAATATCGAGTAATATTCCGCCTAGTTTTTACTCGGCCTGTGTAATATAACTCGACCATTACACATAGGAATTAATCATATACAAATTCGTAGTGAAAGCCTGCAGTTCGTGTAAAATCATCACAAGACCTAGCGGGTTGACGCGCTTTTTCTTGAATGTTGCCAAGTCAGATTGCTTTATTACCAGTATCGGCTTTTTATTGTTCAATCGCGCGCGACGATTGAATTGTCATTGCTCTCAGTATATATCAGTTTAGTCTATTTTTGATTTGCTGCGTAAATCTGTAATTTGAACTTTTGGAATGTCCTGCGCTGAATTCTGCTGAATATAATTTGCGACAAGTGGAAGTTCCAGAGTTTCAACCAATTAACATGCTTAGAATATATCACGTGTTGTAGTAATTCGACCTGTTGACACCAAAGCGCCAAGTTCGATCCTTTGGGAGCATGAAACATTCAAAGAGAAAAGATTTTTATTCAAATTTTCTATTATAAAGTTCCAAAGACCTGATAAAATACATGGATATTGTTTTCAAAGGTATGTCTCTTGTGTATTTACTTATTTGTATACGGATAGTTACTTGATATGCTGTGTAGTTATATTTTTAAATCGAAGGCCTGACAGTAATTTTATAGTCGCTTCGCCGAAGGCATCTAGACGTTCAGTTGTAAATTTTCGATTTACAGTCTCTACTTATCTGTTTTGTTGAGGAAATCGTATAGCTTATTTGTGTGATATACATGTATATTGTATTTTCTGTTAAGTATTTGCTAAGTTGACATGTATACTTTACATGTAATATATGTGTGATTTGTTTGAAATGCATATATTATAAACTCTTGTCAGTCTTGACGAAGGGCCTTCATTCGAAACGTCGAGTTTCTGCTTGTTTTTTTTTTCTAAGGTAGTAATATAACCACACAGCATTTTCACATTGGTACTACCCACACTGATACAGACAGTTTTAGTATATATATTCAGATTAATAGCATGTAGACAGCATTTCCCAATATTACCGAATGTATGGCATGTACTTGCTATCATATTAATGGTAACCCTCCTATCAGTCAGCCTAAAACATGAGTAAGGGTATGAAGCGTTATTCATGTCAATATTCGCTTTTAAATTATATTATGGAAGAACTCAATTTCGATTACACATGGTCGAATCGAAATTGAGTTCTTCCATAACATAATTTAGAACCGCAGAACATAATTTAGAACCGCAGGACATAATTTAGAACCGCAGGACATAATTTAGAACCGCAGAACATAATTTAGAACCGCAGAACATAATTTAGAACCGCAGAACATAATCTAGAACATAATCTTAGCGTGCTTGCTGCCTGGAATTTCCAAGGGGGGAGGGGTTTCTACCAGGAGTACCAGGCGCTATATTTTATTTTTATGACATTGATCGGCGAATGCTTCCATTATATGAATAGCCATTCTTCTCTTTCTTCAAGAAGATCTTTCAGTTTTTTCAATTTAATTCAAAATTTAAATACTACTTAAGTTTTGTTCATTTAGTTACTGAATATATTATAAACGGCTAAGAAATTGAGGAAGCTGTTTCCGCTATCGAGGGAAGACAGCCATACAGATTATTATCGGATAATCGCCTTCAATCCTGCTAACTATATGCCATAAAAACTCCTATTAACCAATGCATTGTCGGAGAAACACATTAGGGTCATCTACAGGGGAGAAAATGTGTTGTTTTCTGTGATTATGGTCTTATAAATTTTTGTTAAAGCTTCTCTTAAAATGCACTAGGGAATAGCATTAATGGACCATTGAAAACAAATATCGGGGTTCTCAGTCTGTGGTTCTCAGTATTTATTTCTTAGCCCCCCCCCCCCAATTTTAAGTGGCCATGCAAAAATCATTTACAGATTAACCTAATGTTTCTCAGCACTGTTATGGTATGCACCTCTGGTTATGCACTTGTAAATTATGTTATGCACTTCTAAATTATAACAACAATTTTAAAGTAAGAACTAAGCTAATAGAAAGCCTCTCTAAAAATATGTTGTAAGATCTTGCACGGACTTGTAAGTTCTAAATTATGTTATGCGGTTCTAAATTATGTTATGCGGTTCTAAATTATGTTATGCGGTTCTAAATTATGTTCTGCGGTTCTAAATTATGTTCTGCAGTTCTAAATTATGTTCTGCGGTTCTAAATTATGTTCTGTGGTTCTAAATTATGTTCTGCGGTTCTAAATTATGTTCTGCGGTTCTAAATTATGTTCTGCGGTTCTAAATTATGTTCTGCGGTTCTAAATTATGTTCTGCGGTTCTAAATTATGTTCTGCGGTTCTAAATTATGTTCTGCGGTTCTAAATTATGTTATGGAAGAACTCAATTTCGATTCGACCATGTGTAATCGAAATTGAGTTCTTCCATAATATAATTTAAAAGCGAATATTGACATGAATAACGCTTCATATAAGGGGCTGCTTATATAAAGGCAAGTCAGCCCAGGTAACTAACCTGGCTATAGCTCGCTTTCACTGGATGAATGTCTGTTTAGATGAGCCTCTTTAGATGGGCAGGCTTGCCAAAACAAATCACCCAGACTGAGTTGTATCATAGAAGCACATTTTCGAATAAAGTAAACCGACATCATACTTTTGCAGACAGTTTCGAAATGTAATCCATTGAGCTGCAATGCGCTCCAGTACGCCCTACTCATTTGTTTACTTGTTTAACGCCAGACGATTTTACTCGTCAGTGGGGAAGCTCTGAAGCTTAATGGGTTAACCAAAAATTCTGACAATGTCTCTAGTTAACCCATTGAGCCGCAATGTGCCCCAGTGTGACCCACTTATTTTATTTACTTGTCTACCGCCAGCAGTGATGTAACTTTACTTTTTTGACCACTTGCCCTCAAGGCAAGTTGGTCATGAAAATTAGTTGCCCTGAATAAAATCCACTTGCCATCAGACAATGGGGTACCTAGCTAGGGGGGTATAAATTAAGAGGACAACATGTCAACCCGTTCTCCCACTGAGCTCTATATGGCTGTTATACTGCCTCAGATCTAGCTTTGGTCCACGAAAAACAAAATTTGAATCAAGTCCATGCACTATAAAACAAAATATATCCGACAATGAAAACATAAACTTAAAGATGCCCAGCTTTTTGTGGCAAAGCAACTTGTCCAATCGGGCAAGCAAGATAAAGTGTTTACTTCGCCATCATGATATTCACTTGCCCCGGACAAGTGTTAAGTTACACCTCTGGCCAAACGATATTACTCGTCAATTGGGAAGCTCAAACTCTATGTACAGCTTAATGGGTTAATATTGAAATTGATCGGGAAATGTCATTTAGAAGATTACATTGTGCCTAAACAAAGCATCAATAGTTATACTGTGCCAAATCCTGCCAGGTCATTGTATATAGTTTATATGCAAAATCCTAGCTTGGCATTAGCAACATTTTGGGTGAATTGAAGCAGTATCATTATTTATTTAGCTTTGCCAACTAGGGTAGGGTCACCACAATGTTCAGCATATATGCCAATTACTGTTGGCCCTTTTACCTCACCCACCCTGTCAACTTTCCCTGTATTAGGAAACCAAAGTACCCGAGAAAACCCATGACTTTCAGCAGAGTGTTGACTTTACTCGATACTACACACGATGTTTTATGACTTTTATCGTTTTATTATGTATAGAATCGCTTCAAATATGTTTATAATACTAAGATATATTCTAGAATAACACTAGTTCAAAACGCAACGTTTCTCGAACGTTTTCTGAGCACGCGAGGCGCGCCGCTGGTCGCTCGTACCAGTCTCTAAACTGTTCGCATATATTATCGTTCATTACGGTATCACTCTCCCCTCCTCATTGAATGCCATCCATGACATATACGGATCTTTCTTCTTATCTTATCATTTACAGGTATTTCTCTAGAATTGTTGATATCTTCTACCTAAGACACCTGGGCTGGTTGATCAGACACAACCCATTAACTCTATCAAACCTATCTAATACTCATGCGCGCATACTCATTCTACATATAGATCCGTTTTTCCGTAACCTCAGTTACGATACACGTTCCTCCATAACTATGGATTCTTAAC